CAGGTTTTACTTTCAATAATTATAGCACTGTCCTCTAAAAACCTTTCAGTGTTTCCTCAAATGTCTAAAGAATTATCTTTAATCTTCATTATAAAGATATTTGTTTAATCTTGATTTAATTATGTAATTACCTTTCCTTCTAACCAGAATTGAAAAGTACTTTCACAGTTCGTGCATCACCAATTCCACCTTTGCAAATACCATTTCCTAGAGTGGATAACTTGACTGCTACTTTTTCAACTATCAACAACCTTGTTTATTTAATTCCTGGCTTCCCTTTTATATGAAATATTTTGTGATCAGCCCAATCTACAATTATTCTTTTCTCCTTTAAAATATGGAAAACTTCTCCTTTAAAATATGTCAATCTCATCCATAGAAATCATTTTTTTTGTGCCTGGGGCATCATCTCCAATCCAAGAGAGTAAAATCCTGAAAATGAGAGTTCGTCTTCAAACTGTATCATGCATCTTTCTTTGGATGCACTAGTCAAGAACATCTTTTGAATGACTGCTAAATTATAGTCCAAAAAATCTCACAATGTTGACAGTCACCTAGGATCCTTGATTGTAGGGCATTTTTAAGTATTCTATATTTTTATAACTTCCAACTGTTCATTGCATCTTAAAAAGAAATAAGAATTCTGCATCACAGTTACCCAGGTTGGCTGCAGAAAAAGATTAAAATGTCGTATCTAACATTCAGAAAGACATTTGGTAAACTGACTGAGTACTGCCAAAGCTTTTGTTTAAGCCCTTATCGTCTGACGATGATGGTGATGGGCTCCTAGAGTCTCTCTGTCTCTCATTTGGTAACTTCTCCCTTCCAACCTCCAGTGAGACCTTCCCAAGCACAAATCTTTCTTTAAGACTCACCTGCTTGAAAGCTTCCCCTACTGTTCTCAAAATAAAGGCCAAATATCTTATGAAAAGACTCTTCATGATCTGACTGTCTCCCTGGCTTTTTCTGCTCAACCAACACTGAAATACTTGCTATTCCCCAAATACCTCATTCCATTTTACCCCTCCATGACTTGCTATATGCCCTTTTCTTCTGCCAAGAGCATCCTTCTTTACGTCACCATCGTTAACAACTCTAACTTATCCTCCAGACACAACTCATACTTAATTTTTTCTATTAAGATTCTAAGTCCTCTCCCAGGCAGAATTAACTCTCTCTTCTATGCAAATACCATAACTTGTATATTCTATACTTGTACTTATTATACTTTCACTTAAAATTTAAAATACAATCTAAATAGAATTAAATAAATTGTATTACAATTTAATGCAGTAAGTGCTATAATTGAGATGCATCTAATGTGCTCTCCTGTTCATCTGAACCACTTCATATTCTTATGAGATGTAATATGGTGGTTTGAAAGAGCAAAGGTTCTGGATGCAGACAAATTAGGCTTTGGATCACACAAAACAATAACTAATGTGCATTTATCACTTACTATCTGTGAAGTACCATCCTGTTTTTATGTGTATTCACTCATTTAATTTTCATAATAATCCAATAAGATACATATTGACACACATTTGCAGATGAGAACACTGAAGAACAGAGGCCACTTGGAGTCATGGAACCATCGAGTTGCAGAATCGAATTTGAACCCCAATAACCTGTCCACAGAGTCAGCTCTCTTAACCGCCAAGCCATCTCTTAGCCAATTAACATTTCTGAAATTTTTCATCACTGAAGAATGAGGATAATAGCGCCTTCCTTATTTTAAGTGTAAAATAAAATAATTGTCTCTTACTTTTCTTTCTTTTCCTATGGTTCATTTATTTTTAGAAGTGGCATACATTTATTTGACTTCCTGGTTAATATATAAGGTCTTTACCTTCTTATTGTCACACATTTCAATCCTCAGCATTATAAAAGAACAAACGAACTGTGGCTTTTCTTTTCTTGTTATTCCCTAGTAATATCAGGTTGTACATCTTGGCCAGAGAAAAGTTAGCCTAGTTTAAATGAATGAGATAGAGAAGTTGAATTTGTTGCCATTCATTTCATTTCAATTGATTTTGTAATAACCATACAAAATAATTCTCTGGTTGAAAAATTTACCTTCAGAGCTACTGATTTACTATGGCACATAACAAGTACTTATTGATAAAACCAGAAGAAATAAATATGTGGCTTGATAAGAATGAAGAATAAAATATGTTAAATAATGTGACAATATAAAATACTTCGTATTGCAGCACAGAAAATAAATCTTCCTTACACAATACTAGTAGGAAATGTGCACAGACCTCACACTGTTATTGTTAAAATGTATATTGTTCCACTAAAATTCAGCATTCAAGAGAGTAAATAGGATGTAACCTCCTCAAATTGCAACCAAATAATGGGCTTATTATTCAGGAATCCACACTTGATTAAGTCTGTGAAAACTAAAACTACGTATTTGAGAAGCTAGTTGAAATTCTGGTCAGCAAATGCGAATACAGTATGGTGCCAACCCAATTATTTTTTTTTTTAACATCTGCAAGCTGAACATGTATATCTTAGTTAACATAATTATTCTAAACAGAAATATGTTACAAATTCCAATCAGCTGCTTCAGAAGATTGATTACCTAACTATACATATTTAGCTTCATAAAATTGTTTCAAATTCAACATTAAATTTGAGTTGTTTTGAAAGCACAGCATACTGTGATTTTGTGTATGTGCAAGTGCAAATGTGTGTGTGCCTGTGTATCCTATTACTGCATATTTTCACATTTGGTGAAAATGTATGAAAATCTATGACACATTTAAGTAGTGTTTTATTCAGATTCCAGTAACACATGCTAGGCTGTTTAGATTTCAAATAATTTCATTACATCGAAACCAAAATTCATTAATATTTAAGCCTTTTATCTTCAAGCTTCTCTGAAATATAGGGCATAGTCTCAGGAAAGAAATTTATTTGTGAATTGAGTTTGGATTTACATAATCTCCTTCCTTACTGTGTTTTGAATTGAATTATTTCCAAAACCATTAAAAATGTATAAATACCCCCCGACACACACACACACACACACACACACACACAAATATGATTGAATCATACAATTATTTATGCTGTTATTGAAAATGAGAGGGGCTTATATTACTCCCCATTAAATAATTTCATTTTTGCAAGACACCATAGTCTGTACATGCCAGTCACTTCCTGATAGTAATTGGGGACCTACTGGAAAATACTGTAATTTTTCAGGTTATATGAATACCATTTAGATTACATTGCTCTAGTGTTTCATCTAATTTTATACCGTCTTTTACTCAGTTTGGAAGTTTATAGTTTGTATGCTTCTGAAGGTACACATATTCTCTCATACTGTTGTGGGAGATAAGTAGATAATAATATTAGTAAGTACAAAGAATATTTCAGTCACTCAGGGGGAGATGGAACTTAAACTCTATCTTCTGATTCCTAAGTCAGTATTCTTTTTTCCTCACATCTTCTTATGTCATCTTCACTATGTTGTACTATCTTCCCTGATATTATATTATTCAAAGCTCTCTTTTAGTAATTGTACTAGGGAAATGAGGTTGAGGTCCTAAAATGTTTAAGTCCGAGGAGCACGTGCAAGATAATAAGAAACTGAATTTTAGAATGAAGGCCATTATATCAGTTTCTTATAGTCCATTAATAAAAATGCATCATTCATTCATTGTTTTTCAATATTTCATTCAATAAGGAATGCGGGGAATTAAGTTTTATTTCTTGAAATTATTTTCCTCAGAAAAATTAAAAATCATTAGAAAACAGAAGACCGAATTTACATGATGACATGAAAACTCTGCTTTAAAACTCAATGTCAAGGACATTTGTTATTTTCAAAAAGAGTTTACAACATTCATTTGGCCAACATCATTGACTAGTACTCTAACCACAGCCTGCCTTGCATTGTTAAGAACACCTTACTAGAGCTTTCCTTAATTCCTCAGTATTGTAAAATATCCTAACTGAAGCAAATACTGCATCACTAAATCATTTAGTTAATGGCAACTGAAACTTAACATTATATTAAAAATAATATAAACCTTACTAGTTAATAAAGTAATATTATAAAGTAAATGAATTTATATTGGCATACAAAATATTTGTATAGCCAACTAGTAATACTTTTCATAGTTTCCTGGATAATTGTATCTCATTGTAGTCATTTTATTGATAGAAAATAACACTGCTTTAAATTTAAAAGCAATACCTTCTTCTCAGTCCAAAGTGTTTTAATAGCTCACCATGTTACAAATGCAGTAGTCTACACCAATGTAAATATTATGCATATTTTATTTTACTTTTTTACTTTGAAGCCAAATTTGTGCTAGGAATAGATAAATACTCTAATTTTAGTTCAAAGAGAAGGATTTAAAATTTGAAGCCATTAACTGAGTAATTCAGGTTTTTAAAACTTTAGAAATCAACCAGTAGTACAGGAAACAATGGGAACAACACACATTCAACCAAAACCAAGGATTATTCTTGGCTCTCTATATGCAAAAGCTCTGCAGGAAGAACAGCATTTAACCCTTTTCGGATATGTGCAGTTCTATTCGTTGATGAATAATTTTGTCTCTTGAACATAACACAGGTGGAGCATTAAGAAAGGTACAGGCAATTCAGACAGGCAGCACAATCAGTAGTACCTGAGTGGTCTGAAAGTATGACTTGAGCCTGGCTGCTTGCCACATTGACCTGTCAGGGAATTACTTGAAAACTAGGGGGAAGGCAGTCTAGAATGTTTTTGACATGTATATAATAAAACGGAAGAAATACAAGTGCCCGAAAGCTCACATAATTAATTTAAATATGAACATTTCTCTGAACCAATGATTCCTTTTTACTGTGTGGAAATAAATACACTTCATGATTTTCATTTCAGGTCAGAGGCAGTGCAGCTTGTGTTACAACTCAAAAGAGTAATACTTTGAAAAAAAAAAAAAAAGATGGTGCTGAAAATAAACATGTTCAGCAGCCATTGTGATTCAACTTACCCAGATGTGCTTTTCATGAGATGGAGAAGGACGGATGGAAAAGAAAAGCACACAAATGTTAATGGATACAGTTCAATCCAAAGAAAGCCATGGAATAAAACAAGAGCATTATTTCAGATGTGAGAAAGCTCAGGTATGAGAAAGACACGGTGCCATTTTGTATTTCATCATGACACACATACTCACTGTGTCCAAAAGCATAGTCAGGCTGGGCTGAGGGTAGTTCTAATAGTTGACCAATAAGTCTATGTCTTGAGTATGAGCCACTCTGAAACATGCACGACCACATTTTCCCAGCCTCGAGTACATCCCAGGAGGAAATCAAGGAATCTTGGTAAAGGACATTCTTTACCTCAGGCCACTTCCATGTTATTTTACCAGTAGAAATAATAACTTATTAATTGGCATTTGGATTTTTATTTTTATAAGCCGACTGCTAAGGCCCAAGAAGAAAGAATAGCAGACATGTGAAGAGGCAGCAACTTGAAGTGAAGAAAGTCCTTCCTAGTTTGATGAACTGAAAACCTAGATTCTAGTTCTCATACACAATTTGGTCAAAATTATTAGCAGATTCTGGTCTTCAATTTCCTCATCATAATCCCTAGCAATAGAAATGCGTAAAGTCCATTCCAGATCCATAATTTATTATTCCAATCAATGCTGTAATAATAATTACTATTTTGGTAAATATGTATGGCTAGTAATCAGAACATGAGAAAGTGTAAAAGTGTTCTATTCCTCTTCTTCCGTGGCCACATTACTTCCTCCTCTATTTTACTGGCAAAATAAACATCAAGTTTGTGCCTATTGTGACTTTTTCAATAGTAGAAATATTTAATTATTTGAATAGGTGTTTATAAATGTTGTTTTTTTGGAAAAATCCATAAACTATATTGGTTCACCAATATTACCAGAAATCATCACTAAAACAACATTGATACATATATTGCTTTTGAAGAACCCTTGCTCCCTGGATGTAGCAGAGGCATTGAGAAAATATGGAAGTTAAATAATTCAACAAAAATCCATGAGAATATTGTTTTAAAAATATATTACAAGCATAATAGCCTAATTATTAAAAAATAAAATTGTTACTACAACTCATAAAATATGTTCAATATAACAAAATAGAAAGCAGAAATTCCTATGTCAGAAATTAGGCAAGTTAGAGCATCTCCTTTTTTATTGAACAATTATTATAAAGAAAAGATTGATGTGCAATGGAACACCCTGCACGTGCCTCCTCTCAAGGCATTCATTCAGAGAAACCACGTACTTTTTATTAAATTGGCACTTTGAAAAAAATGCTTATTTTTGGCCTTAACTCCACAGCATCTGTGGCAAGCTCCTTAAATTTTCACATGAACAAAAACATAAATGTTCAGAAACACTGGCATTACACTGTCCCAAGAAATTTATCATATTTTTCACATCATACACCCCACAGAAATGAAATTAAAACCAAAAGGATATATTTTTAGATGTTTAAAATGGTTTTCTTGTCAACATACCTGTGAACTCTATGATGGGTTCAGAAAAAATAGGCAACTTCTCAGCTTTCCAAGAAAATTGCCAAAAGCATTTGGAACTAGTTATCACCATGGACAACATAATCTTTCTGAGCCTACTAGCTATCTAGGAATCACTTTCCTATAAAACAAGTTGATTAAATTTGCACGCAGTGAAACAGTAATATTTATCAGATGGTCCTTCATCATTTTTTAAAATAAAAAACTTAATCAGTATAAGTACCTTAAAATATAAAATATGAGAAAATACAAAAATAAACAGAAAACACAAATTTAAACACAAGTTTAAAAATTTAACTGCTCAAAAAGCATTGTACAAATTTCTATTATTTTGTTATGAATTTATTTATTTTTTTATGAATTTATATAAATTATCTGATTTCTCATAGTTTTTATGAACTTTCTTCTCTTCCATAGTAAATAAAGTTAAGAACAATTTCAAGCAGCTATATCACTTTAGAATATTAAGAATTTCACCTCATGACTTTCAAACAAATGTGTTCTGCAAAAGACAAAAATCTATAGTTATAAATGACCCATATTTTGTGCTAATATATTATAAACTTCATATAGGAGGTAATATATATTTGCAGAGAAGTTTTTTCTGATTAATTTTTCTTATTGTAAATATTGATGCATTCTTTCCTACAGATATTTATTTACAGTAGCATATGGTCTCATTATTTTTCTCTCCATTTCAGAAGTGTCAAGGCTATGTTAATAGTGAGAGAGATTCTGTCAAGAATAAATATTCTTCAGTTAAAGACCATTGTGAGTAATAGGCAAGTAAGTTTTAATTAACATGAAAAAATAGGTTATGTTACCATCTAATGAATGAGATCAGATGCAATTATTGACATTATGTTTTCCTTGGCAACATCAGCATATATCTAGTCAGGAGAAGAAGAAATTACCAGCAAACATATGTCTTATATTTCAAAATGAGAGCCTTCAACTTTTCAGTTTCCTCACCTTGATCTTCCAGATCTCCTACAATTGAATGGACCTTCTCCTGTTATAAACTAGTCAATTCTGGATTGAAAACTTCAAATAAGAAACAATTTATTAAAAGAGTTTTACGTTTGGAATATAATTGACTCTTGCTTTGTAAGGTTCAAGTTAGTAATTCAGAAATGTTTTAAAATCAGTTATTAACACCAAATTGAGTAGTTAATGGCTGGTAACTGAAATGGAAAAGTAAAATAAATAAATATTTTTTAATAGGTGAAAGTTGAGAATGTTTAAATGCTAGTGGGGAAAAAAAAGACAGGAGCAGAAGTTGAAAGCAAGGGGGAATTCAGCACAAAATGACTAAGAAAATGGAAAGGGATGATCTGAGTAAGAAGAGAATAGCCTAGTTTTCTATAATAAGACACATGGGGCAAGTGTTAGTATATATTTGGCATCAAGCAATTCAGGGCACTTGGATGGTTTCTCTCTCTCTGTCTCTCTGTCTCCTTAAGCTAGAATGTGAACTCATCAGCAGAAGATACAAGTTTGAGGAGAGTGGAGGTCTCTAACAAGAGTTGCAGAGAGTAGAACAACACTAATGAAATAAAACTCTTGGGATTACTAGGCAGTGCTGAATTTCACGATAAAACTATTTCTAATTTCCCTGCTGTAATTTTCTCCAACAGCACAGATGTGCCAAAATGTACACATGGAGAAAAAAAATCTCGTTGTGGGTGTGGTTGATACATGTAGATGTGACCAAATGAAAGTAGAGTGAAGAAATTTAACAAATTTTGAGGGTGCTGAAATTACGGACATGATCTAAGCTAAACAAGGAGAGAGGGGAAAACAGAAAGGGGATAGTGCACTGGTAAAGGATAGAGGTTAAATAAAGATGATAGAAGAAAAAGTTCATAAAGCAAGATCAAAGGTGGAAAGACTGTGATTAGCAAGAAATGAAATACTTGAATCGGTAAGTTTGAAAGAAGCATGATTTGTGGTGGTGACAAGATTCAGAATAGTACCATGAAGAGTGTCTGACTTGGGGTAGTGAACAACATTGGAAGCAATCAAGTTATAAAACCAAAAGTTTAGTTTGTGAATGGGTGATCTATGTGGATATCAGAGCATACCAGGGTGATGTCAAGAACTGCTTAAAATTCCTGCTTAAAGACAGATGATGGGGCTTTACAGACAAATATTTAAGCATGTTTCTAGTGATTCTTCTAAATGAAAGAAATGGTTCAGAAGTTTAAGTGTGGTTCACCATCACATTAAAAATAACTTTTCTTTAAGTTAATATTGACTTCAAATAACTAAAGCATTTGAGACTACTTAAAGGAGTTTAAGAAATCTTTATCGCTCTAAGAATTTTATTATTCATCTGCCTAGCAAACCCAATACAGTTAGGCCTCAAATTAAAATTTCAATTATGGAGAATCTGAACTAAAGATATTCAATTTCATGCTTGTGTATGTGTGTACAAAAATATACTTAATACACACACACACTTCATATATATATGAAGTCTTTTTGTATTGAACTTTTTATCTGTAAAATCCCGGCAAGAGAGAGATTATACATAATTACTGCCCTTCTTAGAATTGTGGAGACAAGAGACATTCGGTTCATGAATAGCTCATTTGAAATAACTATGGGAAGAAACTAAATTTCCAAAGATCTTATAAAAAATACTATACAACGCTTATATAGGATTTTATATTAGCAGGAACAAATGTGGAAAATTCTAGATTAAGATGTCAGCATTATATTTAAATGTACTTTAATTTGATTGTTTTCATTTAAAAAGCCATAATTATTCTTGCTATTAGACTCTCTCTTGTAAGTTTTACTTGAATGAATAATTCAGATTGATTCAAGCACACATTTAAATTCTTTACATGGCTTATTTATTAGGGAACATGAGTATGATTATATGTTATATCAAACACTGGAATATTATGTGTGGTGAATTATATCAGAAAAAATCCATTTTATAAAGCATCTACATCTTCTGTTTTGAAATCCTCCCCACCCCCACTCTTTAAAAGCATGTTTGGTTTGAATACATTTGTTGCTCATTTTGAAGGATAGGGTAGCGGCAGATAAGAAACTAATTATTCTCTAGAGGAAAAAAAATGTGCTACCCTTTCCAGAGTACAAAGAAACTGGGGAATTCTTCATTCGCTCCCTATTTGGACCATTAAAAGTTATATAGGATATTCTAGGTGCAGTTGAGATTGGACTACATATTCTTTAAATCAAAGCCCTATTCTTAGACACTAAATAATTCCAAGGAAAACTGGGCTCTGGAGATCTACATTTTTGTATAACACAGTGCCTGGAAAGCTATATTTCTTGATGCATAGAAGAAAATAGCAGTTTTTACATTAAAAGTTTTGTGAAAAATATTAGAGATAATGGATGTAAAATGCATAGAACAGTGCATTGCCTAGCACATTATAACTAATCAATGTGATTATTATGTAGATATTACATATAAAATAGATAACATCGTTAGCATGCAAA